CTTTGGTCCCTTCGGTTCTCCTTTGTATGGGCTGGAGCCTTGCCTTCACCGGGCTCCGTCTCACCAGCCGCCCGCGCCTTTTCGGCGTTCTCGGCGGTTTCGGCAGTGTCCGGAAAATCGCCATGGCGCCGTCCTACGTGCTGGCCATTGACCAAGGCACCACCTCTACCAGGGCCATCCTCTTCGACAAGAACGGCCAGGCCGGGAGATGGAGGGTCCTTACACTCCCTTCCTCGTTGCTTTCCCAAAAAGGCCCACATAGCTAGTGTGTCAAGATAGGGATCTGGGCACCCAACATGGGCTTTGGGTTTGTTTGTTCTCTCCAAGGCGAAAAGGGGCACCAACAAAATACATTTTATAGGGCCTAAGAACATCTTGGCCAGAGAGCCGCGAGGTTGGATGCTAGGGGCTCGTGTGCTATTGCTCACATTTAGAATGCCCGGAGCTTGAACTGTCCCTTTAACTTTGACTACGTGTTCGCAGGCAAAGGGAACCCACCTGATGGATTTTGGCTCTTCAATTGTCCCCTGGAGGGAATCCGTGCCATGTTCCCACTCGCAAGTTCCGATTATCAAAGAATGGGTTCCGTATCGGCGTACTGCCATGCGAGCACGTGCACAGCCTTACGACAACATTCAAAGATGTGGAGGCCAGGTCGTGTAAAACATGAACTTCAGAGATGTAAAGTGTCCTGGGCCCGCTGGAATCGGATCAGACTTCGCCCCGCACACAGAACTTAAAGTGTTCAGCAAGTTGCGCGCCAAGCTCTAGCAGGATTTTTTTTGCCACCATTTGAAACATGCTGCTTTTTCAACACCAAAATAAAGAAATGGAAACCACCATTTACAAGTTGCAATGTTCAGGTGTATAAAGCATCCGGATCCCTGTCTAGCCTTCCAGCTCTCAGGGCGGATTGCGACCTTACATCGTCAATATTTGAATTAGCCGACCGGGCTGGCGAGAACCCTTGTGGAGGTAGTTGTGAAATCCTTGCCGCCAGATTTAAGCGTCCGGTTATTTAAATGGCGACGCTGTACTTGCTTCGCATATAAATTCTTCTTGCCCGATTGCCCACTGGCACCTTTCATACTTTTTTTTGGCAGAGAGTGTGTCGCGTTAGCATCGAAAAGGGGCTCCTATTTTATCCGGGCCGCTGAGCAACTAAGTCTGTGTTGTTGCAAAGCGGACCTGGTCATGTTTGGTCAACATTGAGCATCTTTCCAGCGCCAGATGGATTGTGCTCGAATTTTGACCCTTCACTGCAATAGCATGAGACGGCGCCGCATATGTTTTGGCTTTGCACCAGCACGGGCAATCCCAGCAAACGGAAAGCAATCAGCCAGCCTTTATATCCTAAGGCTTTGCCACCACCAGCTCCGCTGGTTAGCTGCAGGCGTTGCTCAGCTCAGCGCGCTTGCGTGAGAGCGCGTCCGTATTCGTGCTTGTGCGTGCGTGTGCATGCGTGCTTGCGGCGCGCGCGCGCGCGCGCTCGCTGGACAAGTTCACATCAAAGACCAAGGAGGCAAAGACTGCATCCCCGGCAGCCCCGGCAACCCCCCCCCCCAAAAAAAAGAAAAGAATAGAAGCAACGCGCAAAAACGCTAGAAGCACGGTGTTTGCAATGTTTTGCCGCATGTTGGCGACCGCTGCTTTCGTGGGAGTTTAGCGTGCGTGCTTCCGGCTTCCACGGGGGTGGCTCCCAGGGGGCAATTTTGGAAGGTTGCGGGGAATGCTGCCAGGCCTGCATGCTACTGAAGGATTGCTGGGGATGCTGGGGCGGTTTTTGGCGATATGCAGATGCTTGCCTGGCTTGCGTCCGGATGATGCAGGGGATGCCAAGGAGGCGCTTGTGTAGCATCAAAACTTGTAAGCGGTGTACCCCACGGGTATGGTTGCCTCGCTCTTCGGGCTCGAAGACACGCAGCGCCGTGCAGCGCTGGCAGGCATGCTTCAGTACGAAGTCGGTGTGTATTTGTTGCAGCGCTGGCTTCACCGATGCCCGTGCCCGATCAAGTCAGTTGCATGCATGCTCATCGAGGACTGTTCCCCATACATGCTTACTGCTTACCTTGTGGGCACAAGGTCTGAACTCCACACGGGTTGGCAGTTTGGATCCCTGCGAAAAGCCCGCCTCAGGTCTCTGCGACGCAGCAGGCAGAGTTTCCGCAGCTTCCTGGCTGGCAAAGGGTCTGCATTCCCCTCCCCCCGTCCCTGAGGTCCTACCACCGCCTTTTTTCTCCGATGGAGACTGAGTTTACTTAGCAGTTCTCACTTGCTCCAAGCGAATCAGCTTGAAATGACCTTTGGTGACCTTTGGTGTTCTTGCTTTGTTTTACTGTATGTTCTGCCAAAGGTCAATTTCACTTGACCTTTTGCCTAAAGAAGGAAGCCTTTTGGAGGCAAGAAAGTTGAGGTCACACTTTTTGGAGTAGACCCTTGTGCTGAAGGAAACCAGCCTGATTGCGGTGTGCTTGTGTTTGTTTTTGAGTGCGAAAATAAAAAGGACACCAACCACTTTGGGGTCCATTCATTTTGAGACAACCCAATTTGTATCCAATGCTAGTGGGGCGGCTTTGGCTCATTTGAGGCTCGCTCGACATGTCCGTGAGCAAGTTGGAAAGGACACGCGGCCTCCAGGTGTCCCACAAAACCAGGGAGGGTGGTCTCTAAGTTGGCTCACGTTGGACGGAGTGATCATGAGTGGCAAATGTGCCATTTCTGTCCGGTTGAGGTCGTCAGGGCAAACGATCACTTGAAATTGGTGAGCTCTTCGTGGCCTAAACATAATTCTAAAATTCGCAGCGCGGGTAAATGGAATCACGGGAGCTTTTCCTGCTGGTGCTCAGTACTCGTAGCAAATGTGGGAATCAACCCAGGGGTCCCCTTAAAGGAACCACAAGAGATGGTTTATAAGGGTCATTCCTTCATTCCCTGCTGAGCACCAACAAGTTTTTTGGGGTTTCCCGCTGAGGTACTATCCGCAGGCAGGCTGGACAGAGCACGACCCGGAGGAGATTCTGCAGGGCGCCATCGAGTGCACGGAAGGAGAGAAGTTTGAATCCGGAGACCCGGGTCCCGAAACGGTCGAGGGAATATACAACAGGCCGTGGATGGTCTTGTCTTTTAGAAATCCGCGAAAGACAGGGTTGCTCCTTTGGCCGTCCTAAGCTGAGGGTCCCTTGGTTCCTTAGTACCTTGTGAAGGTGTATGTTGACCCTTTTTTAACCTGGCAAGTGCATCCTCAGAAGGTACCAGCCCATGTCATCATGTGTTGAAATGATCACAGGAATGGAGCGTGAGGTTGTTCTTCTGTTTCCCATGCGGTGACCAAACTTGTACCCTTACCGACATTGCGCGGCATGGGATTGGATCGCCCAAAATCGCAAGAAACAAAGGCAACAATCAGCCGATGTTCAAACACCAGCCAATGAAAATGGATGAGTAAATGACGGGGGGGGGGGGTTCAAGCTGAAGTACTCCAGAGGAAATGGGCCAGGATGCACACATGCTTGGCACCCCCTCCGGGTGAGCAACCCTGTCAATCTGTCTCGTAAAAGCCTCAAATGGGGCTCCCTCAGGGAAGCTCTTCAGAGCCGTGCGGGATTTGCCAAAGTGCTTCTTCGGCAATTTGTTGGCCCCCAATAAATAGCAAAAAACAAAGAGGGTCGAAAACGGAGCCAAGGTTGCCACCCCCAAGAGTTGGGCAAACTACAGCAACCTGAGTGCAAGGGAACGAGCTGAGAAATGAAATGCTTGCCTTTTTTTTTCTTCTCCTAGACACACGCACACACAAAGGCAATTGCTTTATCATAGCCCGGGACAGGTACCGGTCTCTGTTGACTTTGGTTTCTAGCTCTCCAGTTCTCTGGGATGGTTCAAGCAGGGCGATTCTTGAAGGTCTCTTGTGAACTGAATGTGCATTTTAAGGTTCACCCGGACCAGAGTCGAACGCGGTATTCTTGATGGGGGGCAACAGCTGAGGTTTGGGGTGCTGTTTAAAGGTGAGGTCAGGCAATTCTGGGGGTACATGGGCCCTGCGAAGGATATTTTCATTCAGGTGTCTCTTTTAGGCTTGTGGTTTTGTGGAAGATACCCTACTAAAGGTTGGTTTAAAAGGACATCAATAGGAAACCACTATGTTGAGGATTCCACTTCAGTTTTGACACATGCCCAAATTTGTGTGTGTTCAACAAATGCAGATGCATGTGGTTTTGGTGTAGGTGTGTGTTTCGGCGGAGCCTTGAGGAAGACCAGACAATTTGAACTATTGAGACGGTCTGATTTGCAAAAGCCAGATGGCCTCTGAGACCGCTTGGTGTGAACTCTCGACAGGCTGTCAAGCACCGGGTTTGATTGAATACCATTGTTTCTTTTCGGTTTCAGATAGGTTTCCTTCTACACGCCTGCCAAAAAAGGGGGAAAATCCTGGTTTCAACGCATGGCCGGACAAAACAAGATCTTGGAGACAACTGTGCTAGGGGTCTCCAGTTTCCTTGAAGTGGCTTCAACAGGAACAACGGGGTCACCTCCTGAAGGAACACACCCAATGGGAATGAGAGTTTCAGGCCTTTGGTTCGGGGTATGGTTTTGCCAGCTGACCTTTCAATACAAAGGGAAGGACCCTCTCAGAAAGCCTCCAGAGGTTTCAACCCTCACAGCCAACTATCCAAAGGCCAAAGACATTGCAGAAACGCGCGGCGGGGGGAGGGGGGTGTAGAATGTTTGGGTGGCCCAAAAGGGGGGCGCGGGTAGGGTTGGGGTCCGCAGGAGCCATGAAGAAGGTCGGGGCGAAGAAAGAGGACATCGCTGGCATCGGCGGCCTGCTCGAATGATCCGAAGGTTTTTCAAATGGCTGTGGGTCAAAACCAATGGTACCATTTGGGGTAGGTGCACCAACCATTTTAGTCTATTTTAGTGGGGATTGGGATGTTCACTGGGGTACGGGATTTTGACCCATGGCCAAATTCTGGCGTCTCGTCGGTTGTTTGCTTTTCGTTTCGATTTAAAGGTTGACCAAATGAAACAGAATCAGAAGATACCGACCAGATATTTTGGTCAAGAAATGGATACTTTCCAGGGAGGCTTGCGCAATTTGTTCCAACATCCAGAATGGCCCTGCAGGGAAGCCAACCAGGGGTTTGAGCAATACTATTGCTGGGATGTTGGGGAGTCAGGGAGTTATTGGAAGCTTTCAAAGCCAAGCAAAGCTAGTTGCTCACTGGTTGGGGTGCCGATTTGGGGTTCTGGCTCCTGGTTTCGGGGGTTCTATGTTCATTCACAGAGGAGGTTGTGGTTCTCTCTTTGGCCATGCTAGGTATCACCAACCAACGAGAAAGCACGGTGGCTTGGGACAAGGCGGGATCGAGCGAGCGCACCCAGGTTGCCACCCAGCAAAGAACGCGGTCACACAACAGCAGCTTGGGACAAAGAAACTTGAACACTGCCCAGTTCAATCAGAACTGGGCTGGGCTGCTTTGAGAAAACCAAGTTCTTCGTGCCGAGCTAAGACTTAGAAATCTTGCATACACCGCCCCCAAGTCGACCACCCAGTGACAATCGCAAGCCACGTAACAGCAGCCTGGGCAAACAAAGTCCAAAGCAGCCCAGTTCAATTCGAACTCGGCTGCTTTGCGGCGCGGCCCCCAAACACACTGGTACAGAGTTGTGCTGAAACGCAACGCCCCCAAGCCGAGACCCAGCGCGAACTGCCCAGTTGAACTGGAACCCGGCTGTTTTGAGCGGCATGGCGCAGCATGACTTTGATTCCTAAACCGCACAGCCCGTGCAACTCCCTGAAGCCAAGCACCACCGCAGCATGCAATCGAGCCACGAGAGTTGCGGTAAAAAGCTCAAATTTATGCATGCGTTCCTCACCAGACGGGTAAAAAGCACCCGACACCGCCGCGTTCCCCACCAGCGGGGGCGGTTACGGGGAGTCTCGGTTCGCTCCAGTGATCGAATCGCCTCAGGCCCAAGGGCCCTGGATATGGAGACAACAAACATAGTTTGGGGCTTGACAAAGAGGGATCCCCACGTCTTTGTTTGAAAGCCCTGAGACAGGGTTTCAGAGAACCCCAAAAAGTGACAGGGTTGCTCACAGCTCAGAACCTCAAACCACTGATCCAGCAACGGTTGGGTTCCTGAGATAGGGCTTTCCTCAATAATTTGCATGATTATCGTATCATGATCATTCTGTGGAGCGTTTCTGAGCTCATGGACTTCGAACGTTTTGGGAAGACAAGTGTCAAGCAGACAGTTTGGACTTTTCAGGCCAATGCACTCAGGAAGTGAGTTATTAAACAGCTGTTCCACTTGGGAAACACTGGAACTCCGGTTTGTTTTCAACAAGAACTCTGCATCTTGAGCTCGCTCCCAGTGTTGCTTGCCCTCAGTTGGCACTGAAAGGGCGAAGCGGTGACGTGAGGAGCCGTTCCCCAAAGCCTTGACCGTTGGGTTGGATCTGGGAAACCTTTGACATTTGGGAGGAGAGTCACTGAGGTTGCCACCCAAGATTCATTTGACCAATATTTGTTTGTTTTGGGTTTTGCTACAATTTTGCAAGCACGCTTTTTGTCTTTTTGTCGGGGCAATAGCTACATAGCGACCCCCGCCATGAAAGAGTCTAGCCCATTGGGTTTCCGGAGGTTTGCTAGAAAGAAGGATCTTTTAGAATGGGAAGGTAGCGCTAGAGTGATGGACCTTGCCCCTGACTTCCGTTCCCAAACGGAGATTTTTCTAGAGTCCCCTTTCACTGGGGATTCAGACCACTTGTGGCATAGCGCCCAACAGAACCGGTTCATGAATCTGGGGTCAACATTATGGAACATGCACCTGTGGGTGTCCGTTCCTCTATCCCAGAGGTCTGGTTGAGGATGTAAGGGGTCAGAAAAGGAGTCCAAGTACAGCCTCGGCACCTGGACCTTTACGCTTTGTTGTTGTTTCCTTCTTCGTCTTGTTGTTCAGGTTCATGTGCAGCTTCATGTTCAGGAGGTTCTTCTTTTACCTCCCTCCATCGATTGGTGTTGTGAGGCCTTCGTTTTGCGGACCTTGCTTGTAACTGGCCTTCTCCAGCAGGTAGAGCCGCCTACGTATTGAGGTTCAGAGCGTCTTCCAGACGTTCACCGGGGTGTACTGCTCATGATTGATAAGCCTTCCTTATGCTTATTCGAGAAACTTGTATATACTTCCATGTGAGTTCCTGGGTTTCATACCTATTCCATTTCAATGGAAAGAAAGAAAAAATCAGAGGGCCAATCAAGTGAGCAGAGGAATCTCCAGGCGAGTCCTTCGGGAGATCTCTTGTCCGAGCAAAAGCTGTGCGCCAAGTGCCAGATATCGACTGAATTCGTGGATCCGCCGCTGGAAAAAGCGGAGGAAACTGGTGGAAACCACAAGCGCATCCAAGATGTCTAGATGCGATGTTTGCCTGAAGCGCATCCAACCAAGATGTCGTCTAGTTAGATGCCTTTTGCCCTTTTCAACCAATCTTGATATGTCAAATAGCTGTGACTTGTGTGAATCGCCCCAGCCCACGGTTTCCTTGGAGACACAGGGAAATCAGTGAGAAATTTCTGGGTCCAAAGCTTTGGACGGGGTGAATCGAAATGAGGTTCGTTTAAAGGTTGGTGGAAGGTTTTTCTCGAGGCAGGTTTAGTTTTGATTGAGTTTAGGAAGGGATTTGTTTAGCGAGTGATCTTTTGGGGGTCTCCACCGCAGAGGCTACCCGCACAGGGGCCCCTTTGAGGGCTCTTTGAGGTGCGTCCTAAGGTACGGCACCCACACGGGTTGTTCCTGACCTTTTCTTGTTCCCCCGTTGTATTAGCATTGGTTGATTCTTGTTCCCCTCTTGGTTTCAGGCGTGGTTGATTTCTTGTTGTTCTCCTCTTGGTTTTAGACTTGGTTGATTCTTGTTGTTTTCCTCTCTTGTTTTCAGCATGTTTGAGACTGAGACTCATTATTTGTGTTGTTTTCCTGCGGGTTTTGCCTTGGGACTCCATACGCCTAGGTGAATTATAACGACCTCACAGGACCTCACCACAAATGGTGGTTTATGTGGGGAATGGCCCTCCAACCACCTTGCTTCAGGCTGAAATATTATAATTCATCCAGCTACTTGCTGGGTATTGGTATGGGACTCATGATTTTTGTGTTGTTTTTCTGTGGGTTTTGCCTTGGGGCTCCCTACTCCCTACCCCCTTGGTCGCATCAGGCCACCGGGAAGCCTCTGTGCCGCGCCATCGTGTGGCTGGATCTCCGCACCTCTGACACCGTGGCCAAGCTCGCGGAGGAGCAGGGCGGGCGCGGCGCCTTCCGAGCCTTCGGCCAGTTGGCGCCAGGGGCGGTGAGGCGGTTGGGGGCAGAATCAGAGGCGGAGGGCCCCGATTTCCTCGCTTTTTGGAGCTTCTTGAGTCGCTTCTTGGGGCTGGACCCTGGTGAAGATCAAGTTTGGACTTTTTGAGTGGCCAGTCCACTCAGGAAGGGAGCTTGGGATGGCTTTAACTCACTTAGCCAAAAGAACCACTGCCACGAGGCTTTTCATGAGATACGTAGGGCTGTCCTCTGTACTTTGGCATTGTCTCATTGTTATCTCACTCCCTGGTTGGACTTGCGTCACTTTTTGGGACGTTTTAGTGAAGACAAAGTGTGGACTTTCTCTGGCCAATCCACTCGGGAAGTGAGCTAAAGGGAAGCCAAAAGAAAGCAACACGGTTCTGGGCTGCCTTGTTTTGAGGGAAACCCATGTTCAGTTGGGTGAAAGTAGATGCGCAGATGTCCAACCAATTTTGGTATAGCCATCCCCTTGTGCATACTTATGGGAATTGTGGCATCGACTTTTTCACCCTGGTGTTAGATTTTAAGGTTGGCGAATGAAACAGAACCTGAAGATATGATTTCTGCAGGGCGCCGGGCCAGTGAAGTCATTGCAACTCTTTAGGTTTCCTCTTGAGAGCGGTTCGGGCAGTCGATGAAGCTGAAGCCCTTGTCCAGTTCAGCGAGGGCTCTCCGTTCTTGGTTTCCCCTAAAAGTCAGGGCCCCGCAAGGGCTCCGGAAGGGGTCACTCTCGGCTGGGAAGGTGCAAGAAACATTTCTCCTATAGTCGCGGAAGCCAAACAAAACGCCTTTTGATTCTTGACCATGATACACCCCAGGCTCCACCTTTCACACCGCATTGAGAAGGTTTCTGGCAGATTGCACAGCATGATCGGAGGTCGATTCACCTGAGAAGTTTTCAAGTCACTGCAAGGGAAGGCTGGAGCCAGCATGTTGCTGACAGAAAGATTTTGGGTAGACCGTGGTAGACTTCTTGAGCGCACGGTGCCGATTACGTCATATTGTTTCTCAAACCAAAACCGTTTGAGTTTGCGAGTTCCCGCGCTTCCTTCCTTCCCCCCTCCTCCCAGATCCTTCACCAAGGTTGGCCGGGAAGTATGCTCAATACCATTTCAAACATCCACAGGGTCTCTTGGCACATTGTGAGAATGGCTTTGAAGGCGGAAAGCCGAATCACGTACCTCCTGAGAAGGTACCGCCAACCCCCCTGAGAAGTCGGATATCAGAGTGAAGTTTGGGGGGCTCCAGGTGCCTGACATCGAACAGAGTAGACGGATGACCCCTGTTTCTTCCATGACGCATTGTAGATTCCCAGCCAAGGCAACAGACTCTCTGGTTCTGCCCAGAGAATCAGATGCCCAAATTGAGTTTTGCCGAGGCGGGCGATCCGGTCTGTATGGCGGAGCCCCCTCCCCAAAATCCGGGCATTTTCTTGTTGTGAACGTCCAACTTTTGGGAGCACAACAGTCAGCTTGGCCTTACTTTGTTTGGAGGTAAAGGGTTTCCCAGTTGCCCTCAAGAACCCCCACACCACCAAACCAAACCACCTGTTTTGAGGAAAGCATGAAACAGAAGTTCACCCACAGACACCCGAGGAAAGAAGACGGGTCTACCGATCTCCACCTACTTCTCAGCGGTGAAGACGCCTGATGGAAACTGGTGGAAGAGCATCCAGTGTGTCACAGGGCTCTGAACAGATGGTTCTGACAAACACAGTCCAGCCTGCGCCAAAGATTCGGGGGATCTTGTTGGGAAAGCGCAGGGTATGAGTTCGAGGTGCTCAGCGGGCAACGTCAATATGTTGCATGAAGTTTCCTCAAGCCGCAGTGGTGTTTGTTGTTTCCTGTTTGTGCTTTGGGGTTCCCTTTCAATAGCAACCAACCAAAGCAAGGGTGTTTGTTTTCCCAAATTTCTACTTTGCGAAGTCTATTGGACACTCAGCAGCCTGCCCGATACTCTCGGTGCAAAGGAAGTGCAAGGGGGCAAAGATGTCCTGGATGTTTCCTCTAGTTGTCCCAGAAAAAAAGGCCAACGGGGGATACAATGATATAGCACATTTCTCCGAATTCGCGGCGTTTTCCTGACTCTATTTCTGGCACCCAGTCCTACAGTTGGCCTTACATCCCTTGCCGAGGATGAGATGGATGATCGACAACGTGCCGGAGGTCAAGCACCTCAGCCGGGACTAAGCATAGCCACCCGTGAAATGTCTATGTCAAGGTGTCAAAAGCGGAGGGAGCTCTATGGCGCTAGAAGTGATGGTTTTCGTTTTGGCTTCCTTTGAAACCAAGGTGAACAGGGTGGCCTCAAACAAGTACTATACCCAACTGAATATACGGGAGGGGGGGTGACCCCTAGATTTGTGCTTTCAGTTGGGGGACCACCGCGCAACTTGCTGCCTGTTAAGGCCTTAAGGTGGCAGGGAGAAGCAAGCTCATCATCAAGAGTCACCGGGTTTTTCCTCTTTGTGTACTCGAATGCCTGGGAATGGTGTGAACATCGCAAGGGTTCTTTCGGTCTTCCTTGTTTCACCAAGCGGTCGGCTTGCCATGAGACACGGGAGGCTCATGGCAATTGATCTAGGGGTTGATTCCTTGTCCATTCTGTTCAACCATCATTCATTTTAAAAGCCAGCTGTTTCCCCTGAATTTCTGATGGTTTTCTGGAAAGAAGGATCCCTGGAAAGAATGGGGAAGTGTCCCCTAGAATTGAGTTAAATTGTGAAACACAGCTTTATGGCAGGGACTGAGTTGCAAGGTGCGGATGCTAAATGTCTGAGCTTGGGCTTGCAGGGTGAAAGTGGATATGCTCAATTCCCCACATGTTGGTAACGTCGTCCCTGCCACGGGGATGGCGCCAACTGCTTTCACTCTCAGCTCCTTGCTCGGGAAGGCTTTTTTTGATAGGTCCAGGGACCTTTTGAGGCCCCCCCCCCCGATTTGTTCAAGCGGGGGACTTTCTGGGGGTCGAACCATGTTGGCTGCACCTTGCAATTCGAACCTTGAGCCCCCTAATGCTAACATGGTATGCGACCAGTAGACCTGATAAAGCGTAAATGGCCCTTTGCCCTGGAGCGTGGTTTGGGAAGCAGACGAAAATTGAAACAACTAATCGAATACTGAAACGATCTTCACCAGGTGGCACTCACAGGTCATTGGACAACAGCAACTTCGATGTTTGTCGAAATCCGGGCCAATTCTTCAGGGCCAGCGGTTTCCTCGTGGCTTCCTTTTTAAAACCAGAAGGGGTTCCCGTTTTTTTTGAGACAACCCCCGATCATTCAAGTGGCGTCTCTGTTGCCTGAGGAAAGCTATGGATGAGGAGCGTTGCTGCTTTGGCACGATTGCTCCTTGGCCATGTGCCTCACAGGCACTTGCCAACGTAGTGTGGGAGTGTGCGTGAAGACCAGGGGTCATGATATGCGCCTTTGGGTGGTTTGAACACGGCTTTTTGGATCAGCGCTGATTGAGTTTCCCTTTGGTCTTTGAGGGGGACAGCTCAGGAGCTCTAACCACAACGTACAGTAGCTGACCCTGGAAAAGTCATGCCCTTTGTTGGTGACAAAATGTTTCCATGTCGTCTTGAATCCTGCTTTTGCTCAGCTTGGATGTTGCGTCTTAGTGTTTGGGCAGACGTGTTTGGCATGGATCACGTCCCGCCACAAAATCTCGCGGGTCCCCCTTCGCAGTTTACAATGCCACTAGTCCAGGGGTACCTTCCCCATTCATTCCAGGGATCCTTCTTTTCAGGAGAAACAGCCGGTTTTTGAAAAGAAGGATGGTTGAACAGAATGGACAAGGAATCAACCCCAAGAACTAGGACTTGAGGCCGCTGTCTGCGGCTGCTCCTTGCTGCTCCATGTTGCAATCGAGTCAGCGCCGCGACCAGTTTATAACGCTAGACACATCATGAGAATTGGAGCTCGACGAGAGACGCTCGGGCGTCCGGACATGTTTGTTGTGTGGCATTTGCGAGAGATCACGCAATTGTCGAAACGTAGATTAGATTTAACGGGCAAGAGCGAAATTCCCTGTTTGAAGCAGTGCATTCGAAGATTGTCTAAAAAGCAGACATGGTAGCTTGCATGTTTCGTGAACCACTAAACAACTCGTGCAGATGGTGCGCCGGCTTGTCTTTGTTTTCAGCTCAAAGTGTCCACAACTCGTTGCAAATCGCCATGCCTTCCCCTAAACATGCGGCTGGCCCTGTTCCGGGCAACCAAGTCTGGTTCAGAGGGATGTCGTGTATTAGATTGCTATCGCGATTTGCCGTGACCACCCCTGAAAGGTCCAACATTTGGAACTAAATGTCGAAAAAGACAGGACACGTACTAAGTGGACGCCAGTTTCGGATTTTTCGGGTGTCCAGAAAAGCACCTGCCCAGAGCCCAGTCTGCGCGAACCAAGGAGTTCATGTTCTCCGCAGGATTGTTTCGCGGGATACACTGATTCAGGGCAGATTGATGCATATGAGTCATACGGGCTGATATCCTGGCAACTTTGAATGCGTGGAAAGTGCAAGAAGCACAAGCTCGACTGCTTCTTCCAATGGCTTCAGATGAAGTCATGAGAAGTGATGTCTTCATGCCCCCCCTGGCCCCACCCTTCCCAGCGCCATCCCCAACCTCACCAACCGCATCTCCCAGACCTCCCACCCCACACCCAACACCATGCTCCCTGCCATCCATCAGGCTGAAATGGGCCAGGAGGGGTTACGCAGGTTTGGGTTCATGCATGTTCCACTTACCAGAGTTCCATTTTGGTACCAGTTTTCTGAGCCACAGCCAAATAGGGGCGGCGCCCTGTCGGTGAACCTCAAAGCTGGAGGGTCTCATGACAACCCTCATATGCTTTTAGCGGCTCATATGCATGCGCAAATTCGGACCCAGGGGACCAGAGTTGTTTAGATGTGCGACAAAATGGGCTCCGGCCACGCTTTGTTTCTGAGCTAAAGCCCTCGTACAGTTGATTGTCCGTCACTCATTGGAATTCCCAGGGACGAAACAAATCCTCCAGCTGGGTTCTGTGATAAACCTGGCTTGGGCCTGGAGTTCGTCCATAGGGGCTCAAGTTTCTAAGGAATCCTGGTTAATCTACAAGCTGAGCGGGGGTGCTGATGGCGGTGTGCATATCACGGATATCTCTAACGCTTCCAGGCGCGATGAGTTTCAGTGGAATTCCAACACATTGCCAAGCTGTTGTCACTCGCAAGGATTGCCCATCGTATTGTAGGGAATCAACGGTACTGCAACGCTAGACATAGAATCTGTGCAGTGCCGTACATCAGCATTTGTCAGCATTAGAGACCAGGGGGCCAGGGGGAAGCTCCGTGCTGCCTCAGCTTCAGACTTTTTGGGAAGTTCGGGTTTTCAGGTGTCAGCAGTACCGTGAAGTGCAGCGGTGTCCTTTTTCCCTACAATGCAGACGGTAAAAATAGAGGAGTTTCCCTTCTTTAGACTCTAAAGATGAGTTGTTCTTTCCATTTTTCCAGAAACCGGAGACCCCGACAAATGTGTGTGTGTGTTAAACGAAAAAAGGAGACCCCCTAATCATGAGTGGTTCCTTTTGGGTTTCCTTCAAGAACTATCCGACATAACAGGTGGCCCTTTTCTCTCAGAACCACGCGCCAGCCAGGGTAATGAACAGTGCAGCACTTCTTAGAAGTCTTTTGAACGTGACATTGGCACGAGAACCTTCAACACATTTTGAGTCGCTTACTTTGTTTTTTCTGGGCAAACGTATCCGAAGGACCCTGCTCGTTTTGAACATCACCTGGGGGCGACTTAACGCGAGTCCTTTTTTTGGGAGGTGTCTCTTCATGTTGACGCCGTAAGCTTTCTGGACTCCAGGCCTAACGATGCACACTTCAGACGGATGGAAGTGACGGACGCCCCGATTTGAACACGCGATCAACCTGGTTGGTCTTGATTCAAAAAGACGAGTGGACTACTGGGACGTTGCGTTGCGCCAGGTACATGCTGATGAACATCCACACCTGCGAGTGGGATGAGGCTGTGACTTGGTTGCATTGATGAATCAACCGGGGCGCGTTCCCCATAGATCCTTGCCTTCTCTCGGCCAATCTGTTGCCTTTTTTTTCCAATTTGCGGTCAAGGTTCCGAAAGCTTAACCTTTTACTTCCAGCTGATTCTTCGGCAGGTGAGTTAGTATCGGAAAGCATGCCTGGTCTGCCTATGCTTGGATTTGCTCCCGATCGATTTCGCTGGTTCAAGGGAATGCCCGCACATTGTGCTTCAGCCCTTTGCGTTTGATCCGTGAAGCATGTTTGTTTGGGGTGTCAAACATTTCTGGTCGATCTCCGAGGATTGGACGCTTCTGCTCTGCTTTGTGAAAAGCGCACCCATATAATAAAAGGGGGGTTGGGTGCACTTCTGCGGTGCCAAGGGAAGTCGCTTTGCTGTAGTCATGGGGAAGGGAGTCCCACCCTGGCGTTGTGTCCACGTTGGCATCACTTCAAGAGTGGGACCCTCGCGCAATGAAATCCATCCCCATTTCCAGCCTGCGTATTGGAATCAAACTATGTTTCAAACCACCACTCGTGTGCGCAAAATTGGGAAGACCCCAACATGGTTTGGCTTTCCCTTTGAGTTTCCCTGAAACAAATGACAAGCTGACATGGTACGCTCAAACAAAACACACAGACACAGACACAGACACAGACACAGACACAGACACAGACACAGACACAGACACAGACACAGACACAGACACAGACACAGACACAGACACAGACACAGACACAGACACAGACACAGACACAGACACAGACACAGACACAGAGACAGACACAGACACAGACACAGACACAGACACAGACACAGACACAGACACAGACACAGACACAGACACAGACACAGACACAGACACAGACACAGACACAGACACAGACACAGACACAGACAGACGCAGACACAGACACAGACACAGACGCAGACGCAGACGCAGACGCAGACACACACACACACACACACACCCACACACCCACACCCACCCACCCACGCACGCACGCACCCACGCACCCACGCACGCACGCACGCACGCACGCACGCACGCACGCGCACGCGCACGCGCACGCACGCACGCACGCACACGCACGCACGCACGCGCACGCACACGCACGCGCGCACGCGCACGCACGCGCACGCACACGCACACACACACACACACCACACACACACACACCACACACACCACACACACCACACACACACACACACACACACACACACCACACACACCACACACACCACACACACCCCACACACACACGTACACACACACACGTATACACACACACACACGTACACACACACACACACACCGCACACACACAAACGTACACACACACACACACCCCACACACACACACACACACACGTACACGTACACGTGCACCCGTGGACGCGGGATTAGGCTTCCGTTGCCCCGATGGTGATTCGGAACTGGCTGTCCCTTAAAACATTCACACGTGGGTAAATGGAGTAGATAGAAACTCCAAAGTTCTTCAAGCCCAAGGTCGCAAGTTGTCGCGGTTACGGCGCGAAACGCCAAGGGTAAGCCTTCGTTCTCTTTTTTGTCCTCATGTGGCGTTGTTTTGGTTATAAAGTTATAACAGGCAAATCGATTCACTCACCGGGCGGCTGAGGTTTGCAATCAGGTGGGGGTCAGCATGAAGGCGCTGCCGAGCATCAAGTCCAACTCGGAGGTGTACGGCCATGTCAAGTCCGCCACTCGCGGACACACGGGTCAGAACCCGTGGAGCAAGCCAACCCCGGCTTCTTACCATCTGAGCATCAGAAAGCAGGGTCAACCAGGGCGTCAATGTACATCCTGTCAGTTGTTCAAAACTGACCTTTTGACCTTTTGGTTTCCCTGTTTTGGTCCATTTTTAGTGGAGGTCCCAAAAGGTTAACCTTTTATGTCCAGGTCCTTTGGGCAAGTGAGTCCCATGGTACCACGGTACTAAAAACACAAGTGAACAAGACCAACTTTAAATGAAGCAAAAGGAACATAAAACTTCGACGAACATCAACAAGATCAGCACGAGCTAGAACTGGTGAACTACAAAAAGGTAAACAAGCCCAACATGGACTCGAGAACAACACAAACGTTCAACAAGTGAACACGATTAGCACAAACTAGCAAATGTCAAGCGCACACTGCAGCAGGTTAACAAGGTCAGCAGCAATTAAAGCACAAAGAAGATCAGCATAAAATAAACAAGTAGACAACCCGAGAATTAAGTGTAAGCCACAAGTGAACAAGTTGAACAGCAACTAACGAAAGTGAACAATATCAACAGAAACAAAAGGTGAACAAGCTCAGCACAAACTAAGACACGTGAACAATATCAGCAATAGCTAAGCAAGTAACAATCTCAATAAACATTGCGCAACAAGTGGCCAAGATAGACACAAACTAAAGACAGTGAACAACATCAGCGCGCAGTACAAGGCGAACAAGATCGGCGCAACTAAAACACGAGAACAAGATCAGCATAAACTAGCACAAGCAAGTGAATAATCTCAACATGTACTTCACAAAAGAACAAGGCCAGCACAAACTAGGCCAGTGAACAATCTCAGCATAGATGCAAAAGAAGAAGGTCCGCACAAGCTAAAGCCGACAAACAAGATCGCAGCACCCTAGCAGAGGTCACCGTTCGTTTGGTGTCTGAGGTCCCCAGCCTGGAAGGGCTTCCCATCAGCGGCGCGCTGGGTGACCAGCATGCCGCCCTCCTGGGCCACGGATGTCTAGAGGTGGGCACCTCGAAGAACACCTACGGCACCGGCGCCGTGGTGCGGTTTATTATTTGGGGGCGGACCAGGCCACAACTAGGTCCCCCAGCTAGGTGCCCTTTCTCACCCCTTTTTGGTTGGGAGGGTTTCCCTACTAAAATTTACTACAGAAAAAAAGGGTAGCCTTTTTCTATCCTCTCTACTGGAGGACCCTGCTACAAACTGAAAGGGTGTCCTTTTTGGTTGATTTGGTTTGAAAATAGAGGGCCCTGGTTTACCTGGTGGTTCAATCAACTTCCAGGGCCATCTAGTTGCCCAAAAAAGGACACCTATGCATGCTACAAAATGAGAGGGGAGGGATGGAGAATGGAGGCACGAAGGCAGGGAGGGATTGGCCCTTGCGGAGAAAAAGAACAAGAAGAAGCTGGTTTTCGCATTTGCAAGACTCATCCATCGTGATGCAGTTGTGTGTGTGTGTGGCTCAAAACCCTTTGCCTTTCAATCCACCATTTATCATTTGGAGGGATTCTCCCTTCCGCCACATCTTTGGACTTGCCTTGACAGGTGTGAACTAGCAAACCCACACAAACCATGTAGGTAATATCGGTAAGATATGCCCACGCTTGACCCATACGTGCCGGGAAACAGCCTCTTTTGCAGTTTCCTCACACATTTTTCGAGGCCTGGGGGGGGACGGGTGTGTGTGTGTGTTTTAAAACGGGCGCCGAAGAAGTCCAAGGTCTGGGAGTCGATCGAAAACGTCCCCGAACATTGCATACAAATCCCAAAGGAACAGTGTTTTTCAAGGTGTCCTTCTCGGAATTGTTGTATCACGAGCTTTCCACAAAATCTGCATATGGCCATGGGGCATAACCTATGGCGAGCTATTTTGGGGTGGATGAACATTCATTTGCCACCTATTTGGATGTTCACCACAATTGCAGGGTTTTGACTGACCCACAGCCATAACCAATGGTACCATTTTGGGGTAGGTGCACCACCCATTTTAGTCTATTTGGGTACGATTTGGGTTTTGACCCATGGCCATATTGTCTTCCAAGGCTCTGTGCACCTCCATGTTTTGAATTGAAGTTCAACCTTCTCGAAGATATCACCAAAATCCATTCGCGAGGTGTAGATTAAATCGAAAGCCCCGGAACTGTGTTCAAAATCATATCCCCATTAATGTACAGTACTTTTTATATAGGGTTTCCTAGTTTTCATGTCCCATGGTTCCTAGTAAGCCCGCTGGCAAACATGTATATCTAGGTGAGGCCGTCATTGCTTTGCTTCCCCCTAAAGGTAGGGATGCCAGGCAGTCGGAGGATGGTTTTGACGCATGGGCCCAGCACCTACAGGGGCAACTCAACCACAGCTCCACAAAAGTGTTCTTATGGCGGGTGAAGGTCTGAGCGGACATCCTACTTGCCCGAAGCTCGCCAGAATTTGTGGAAGGGAAAACGCGGGCCCACACGTATTTCCCTGTTCAGGAGCGGGGACAAAACGTGGTCCCTCACCCCACGTTCGCCCACCATGCATGCTGTGGTACTCATCTTAGCAGGGATTGCGGGGTTGGATATTTGGGATGGGAGGGAACAATGGTGGCGGGGAGAGGGCATGAAGAGGCTTGTGGACAATTTTGACGCACTGGGCGAGACGCGGAAAAAGCGTAGGACTGTCAGCGAACACTTTTGAATCACGTTCAAGCAGCCGCCTTTGGGCTTCCTTGACTGTTGACCGCATTTCCCAAGCCTGATTCATAGAGGGTGTGCCACCCAACAGTGATCCAGATCCTCTCTTAAATGGGACCCTGGATGTGGCAAAAGTGACCCTGCAAATGGTGGCTTTGCATTCAAACCAAGCTCACCCAGCTGGGAGTTGATTCCTTTCCCTTCACCAATCTCCTTTTTGTTCTATAAGGGTGGGACACACCACCCACTGATTCCATTTACCTAAAAATGGAAAGTGGCCGCCTTCAAACAGCTGAACGGCAAATGTCTGGTTACCTATGTTGGCTGCTCGCATCTGGGCCTTGGTCCGTACAGGCTGCTTCATGCTGCTGAACACGGGCGGGGACGCGGTTGAGTCCAAGAACGGGCTGTTGACCACGATCGCATACAAGCTGGGCCCCGAGGCTGCGAACCGAGGTTTGCCAGGGATCCGAAGGACAAGAACTCACTTTAGGTTCCTTCAGACCCCATGCCTTGGTACCATGCCCCCTGGCAGCTTCCGAGCAACATAGGCTCAGACATGTGAGTCCTGAAACTCGAAGCCGCGAAAACACTTCTCTTGAGAAAATAACCGCCTTCCGAGCCGGAAGGGGCCAACAGAAAATCTTGAGATTCACACCGAGCCTTTACTCCTGAAATCCTTCCTTCCTGCCTTCCCTCCTGCAATCCTTCCTGCCTGCCTGCCGCACGGCCTTCTCTCCCTAGCTTCTATGGGTTGTTGCACATACGCCTTGGGTCAGTTTCTCCGAAAGGCTTGCTGTGGCTCACACCATGTGCTTGACCAAAGAGGACAAATTGTAGCCACGTTTGTGTGGGGAGCTGCTTTCTGGGACACCAAGCGCCACATCCCCTTCAAGCGGTACAGTAGTCTTGCAAGGACGCTGATGGAGTTCCAGCTCAGTTTCCAACCTCACAGTGTTAATCACCTGCTGGGTCAATTTCAATTGAGCTTTCCTGCCCAGTGATTCCATTTGCCTGTGCAGTAGGCAGTCTACTGATTCTACCCTTTAAGACCTCAAATCAACGTCGCAACGGGTACTGTCTATAGTCTATAGTCTATAATAGTGGCTTGCGTAGGAACGGGGGTGATCAAAGGGCGCCTGAACCCCGTCTGCCCCGAGGGATTCGTTTTGGGTGGCCGGGTTTGCAGACCGCATCGCCAGGAGCGCACGACTTACGCGCTGGAAGGCAGCGTTGCGTGTGCGGGCCGCGTGGTGCAGTGGCTCCGGGACAACATGGGGGTGATCTCCTCCTCCAAGGACTTCGGCCGAAGAAGCGCTGTATTTTCATCGGCAAGCCAGCGGTAATTAAAGGGCCACTTCATGGAATTGGGAGAGGGGGGAAGTCGACCCCTGGAATTCCAGTTATGGTTTGATTTTCCCTTTTATGGGGAAGACTAGATAAATGAAATTGAGGACCCCACCCCCTTATGGTAGGGGGGATGCACTGGGTCAACGTTTGATAGATCTCTCATCTTTTTCTTTGACATCCCTTGACAAAAAGGGATGAACCATGTTAAGTGTTGGTTCCTGGGTGGAGCTCCAGTGGTCCTTCAAAGATGCTCAGTTACCGCATTTGGGTGCCCTTAGGTAGAAGACTGGCTGCATAGTGAACTATCCAACCGGTTGCTTCCTTTTGCAGGATCCCGGAACGCTTCATTCTCAAACAAGAGAAATTCCTTGCTGAGAACCAGCAGGAAGATTGGTCAACAGTTTCCTTGGGTTTCCCTGAGGGGTCACCGGGCCAATCAACACGAGTTGCCATTTGTTTTCTCCTAACCACGGGGTCTTTTTTGGAGGGCTGCTGAATGGGAACCCTCAATCATTGGAGCGCGCCCCATTTGAGAGGCAAACCTTGGGTGAAAAGAGGGGAGAATCAAGCCTTGCAATGGTGTTTGAAGGGAACCCAAACTGGGTGGTTCATGCTTATTTAATCCTTATGCTAAATTGTGGTTTCCTTCTTGTTGTGGGGGGCCTCTATGGATCACGGACAATGCAGATCCTATATGGATGCCTTGCATTATAGCAACCTTGAAGGGCCCTGAAAACAACAACAAGGGTTCACAATGTTGATACTCTTGGGGTGTTTCTTCAAGGACCCTCAAACCGGCCTAGCTTCCTTTTGATTTGCCTGAGCAAACGCAACCAACAGAAGAGTTCACCAACTGTTCCAACCGCTCCGCTTTGTTGCCCTTAAACGGTTGGCTTCAGCCGAGTCCATTCAAGTGACATCCCGAAAATGAGAATCGAATTGGCGGAGGCAACCCAACAGGACTGTGAAGACCCCCTCAACGCGCTAAAACATACCAATTCTTCAAAAAACATAACAGCAATTGCTTGATGATTCGTTAGTGTTTTCGCATCATCTGGTGTTAATCCATTTTGTCCATACACATTAATTGGTGTTAATCCCAATTTTTTCAATATACCCATTAATTTGTGCAATCACTTGGACCCCAGCTTTTGGTTCGGGGTGATATGGGGTTGGCCGCAAGCCGGAGGATGTCGAGACCTTGGCCAGCAAAGTGGAGGACTCGTTGCCCGGTCAGCGTTCCCTGGATTTCCCCTCGTAGTTCTGCTGTAAGCAGTACTTTTGGCATTCATCCCAACAAGAAGGCAGAGAAGTGCCAAAGGGGGGCAATGGGTTTTAGGCAGTTCCCTCTGTGCGACATCACCTGTTGGAAAGCCAATCAAATAGCTCAGTTGCTCCATACCTCAGCATCAGCGACCTTGCGGTTTGAGTTCTGCCCCTCGGTACCTTGAAAAGGGGGCAGGTATCAGCATAGCCCGCCAAAGGGACAACCATTTCATCTGCCTTGGGGCAAGTGCGCGTGAATTACTTGTTCCCTTTGGCTAGGGATCCATGCTCTATGTATTTGAGGTTGGCTTGAGTCACTGTACGCTGATTTTCATCCCAACACCCTGCCTGGGCTTCCCAATCAAACTCAATAGCAAACCTTCTCCTTCTATGCCAACACACTGTTAAGATCTTACATTTTGCCCGTTACTGGCATGATGCTAGAATCAACACCCACCTGAAATCCGATTTGAATATTGACATATATTTATAAGTAGCCCCTACTCAGGATTTCTCCATTCTCAACATGTTCGGCACTTGCAATTGACAGCTCTCAAAACGCCCATTAGGCATTTTAGAGGTTCTACTTTCCCGAGTTTTACGATGGGCCTAGTAAAACCTTAAACACGACAGGTAGATCCACAGGTCAATGCACATTTTGGTAGCTCATTCGGCGAGAATGTTGCTTTCCCTCTGGTTGCCCTTTCAAGCAACCCCCAAAGACAACCCTCAAGAAAAGACCGAGCCATCAAAAACCAGGACACCGGGGGCCTCACGCTGGTCCCAGCCTTCAGCGGCCTCTTTGCGCCCCACTGGCGCGACGACGCCAGAGCGGTGGCCGTAGGTGGGGTCGGAGCGTGGGTGCCTTGAGGGCCGTGGGAACCTAAGTGCTGCGGTGTGCCCATGAACAGCATCTTCAAAGGATTGCCCAGTTGCAATTCTTACAGATACAGCCTGCAAGCACTGGGTTTGAGACCTCGTCTATTCCCAAGGAAGCTGATAGCCCAGTCATTTTCACAACCCCAGCCCCCCCCCCCCGGCAAGCAAAGACCCCCTCAACAAATAAGGCCGTATTTGGCCCCTACAATTTGGTTGGACCTATGCTCGACTTGTCTTTTTACTAAGCAAACAGTTCAAACCTGTTGGGGCACTAGCCATCGAGTTCTTGATAAGTATTTACTTCGGCTCAATCCGGACCACATTAACTAGAATTATCCTCCCTAAAATGGATTCCCCGCTACAGGGAGAAATGGTCTTCATTAGAAACTCCGGCGGATTCCGCAGTTTACATTACATCACCTGACGGTAGCCCGGGCTGCGAGGCGAATTTCGATTCTCGTTTGGAGGGAACGACGCGAACGATACCCGGAAAACGCGTCCAAAACATGACCGGGCCACCGCGTCAGCGCGCCATGGGGGGCCACCTGGGCCCCTCCCCAGCCAGCAAAAAGCATGGAAGTTTCTGGGAAGGCGCGCCGCGGCGGTTTTCCTGCCTTCCTCTCCTCCATCCCCTCCCTCGCTCCGTTCCTCCCTTCCTTCCTCCCTTCCTCCCTCCCTTCCTTCCTCCCCACCTTCCTCTCTTCATTCCTTCCTTAATCCGTTCTTCCATTCTTAGCCCTTTGTGTTCCTGCAATACTTGCAAATTGAGAGTTGTTCGACAACACAAAACCAGGGAAAACGACAGGGGACTCACAAACTAGGCAACCCTTCGACCGCATAGCCTGTGTCTCCGGTAGACTTTGGCAGCCTTGAAGCTCCAACTTCGATCCGATTGAGGAGCAGTCCGCTCTGAGTTCGGTCTGCTTTTGTTTACCGTCGACATGCTATCAGAGGGCCCCTTTTAAAGGAAGATGGTGTTGGACCCCCAGTCAGGTTCCATGTCTTCTGTATGAGCAACTGACAAAAAATGTAGTAGTGGATGGTTTGTTTGGGGAGGACGAGCGGGGGCCTCCCAATTATTCCACCAAACCAGCGGGACTGGACCATGTCGGACGCATTGTCATGAGCATGTCTTCTTGGGAAAGTGATGTTTGTTATTTTTCCCGACGCTCATATGTTTTAGGGTCATGGACATGTTGTTTGAACCGAACATAAAATACTCCAAAATACAACAAGTCAACCAACAAACATAGGTAGTTGCCCGGGGATTCTCCCAAAAACTCTAGAAAGCTGGCGCTCGTCTTAGCGTGCTCGGTTCCATTGCCTTATTCTTAGCCTCGGACAGGGTTGTTCCACAGAAATGGGTACCTAGGTGTGACAACTCCTCAACACAAAGACAAAGTTTGCTGACATTCTCTCAGCTAGAGTTCCTTCTTATTTGCGTATTGTGCCTATTGTATTTTGAGTTCAGCCTCGGGTAAAACAAGCTCAACATCAAGTGCGTGATTTGCCTGCCCAGTGGATCCACTTACCTTTATAGCAATTGCCCATGGGAAGCCATCGTGCAGAATCAAGAGGTCCAATAGGGTCGAATGTCTGAATTCTTAAAGACTTGCTGCAGTGGCACCTGGATCCACCGGGTTGGGGATCCCTGATGTGCTTTTCTTTGGTGGCTTTGGGGCACATTCGTTTGTGGCCGCCGTTCCATCACTGTGCAGGTATGACACTTTACACCAGCCGGGAGCACATGTGTCGCGCAGCCTTGGAGTCCACTTGCTTCCAAGCTGTGGACATTATGGAGGCCGGGTCTTGGGCTGTCGTGATCAGAGCAACCTGGATTAACATGGAGCCTCAAAAAAGCTAATCATTTTTAGAGGCCACTCCTGTGGGCGGACACCCGTGATGGGTTCCATGTGAATTTGTTGGGGGGGGGGCTTGGGTCGACTGTAGCGCTTCAACCAACATTGGGGGGGAGCTTGGGTTGACTATAGCGCCTCAACCAGCATGTGGGGCAGCGGTTGGGTTGAGTATATAGCCTCAAGCCTTTAGGGCACCAAGAACATGTGTTTGGTGAAGGATCCTTTTCCATGACTTGAAGAGGTTGGACCACAGAGACCGCACCGCCGAACGGGTCACTTGCAGCCAAATCGGATAGGTTACCGTCTTCTCGGCAATTCACCGAAGTGCAATTTGGCAGCCTGGACTCGTGGTGAACTCACTTCCTGAGTTCATGGACTCTAAACGTTTTGGGAAGTCCATGTTAGTAGCAGGCAGATTGTTCGGTTTTTTTCTGGCCAATGCATTCAGGAAGTGAGCGAACCATTTGACTGCTGATATTGTTTTGTTTGGTGAGTTTGGTGGCACACATCCAACTGGGGCATTTGCTGTGGATTGACTGAGTTGGGGAACAACTTTTTCCCTGAGGCGATGCAACATGACACTGGCCTAAAGATCAAAGACATGCGCGTGGACGGCGGGATGACAGTGAACAACCTTTTGATGCAGATGCAGGCGCTGCGCTTGTCGTTGTAGCAGTGTTTCGTATTGTTAGTTGTTTTTGCCGCAGCGCATGCGGCTGTTGAACCCTTCATGAAATTGCACTTTGCGGAGTCGCTTGGTTGACTTGCGTGTGAGTTGCAGGCGGTTGACAGTGTCGATATTGTTGAATTTGGACCAATTGAAATGGTGTTGTTTTCTCATTGTTTCTTCCGTGTGTGTGTGTGTGTGTGTGCGTGTGCGTGTAGGTTTGTGTGTTTGCATAGTTTGTTTTCGGGTGAACGTGCCCTGTGATCCGATGCAGAAGCAGGGTCGGAAAATGGCCAGGTTTTGGTGGGCGTACTGGTGTGGTTGGGGTGTTCCACATGGCGGCGCGGCCGGAAAGTTAGTTTGTTTGGCATGGATAGTAAGCAAGTCGGTCTGATGCCTAGAAGAACCCAGTATTATACTATAGGTAGGGTGCAATTTCACAATGGCATTGAACAAGTTCCATACCCAGTTTCAACATGGGATGATCAACATGGGAACCCCAAGCTCCTCTCGTGCCATGTAAAGCTCGTCGAAGCAGCTTTCCCGCCCTTAACACTGAGCTGGGAGAGACCTAGAGGGTTGCGGCTTTGCGGCTTTCACCTCCATGCGGTTGTGCCATCGAATTTTGGACACGATGATCAAGCCCTGAAAGATCAAGCCCTGAAAGGGTTCCCTTTTTGCAGCCAGAATCATTGCCTACAACTCAGACGGATTGATTCGGTGCCGAGCCATAGGAAACTCGCCCCAAGGGATGGATTTTGTTTTTTGGGTTCGGTCCAAAAAGACAAGTGCTTGAGTTGCCGCAACAGTACCCACTGACTAATTCTGCTTTTCAACCCTCATGTTCGAGTTTTTAAGGGGTGGTTCCCTTAACCACCTGCTAAACCAGTACCCCAATAAAAAAACGGGTATGCTTTTTAACCAGAGTTTTGAGCCCAAACACGAGGTTTGGGGTTGAAGCCTTCCAGCGCCTACCCTCCAATTGCCGTTTGGCTCCCCGACAACCTGCAGAAGATGCTGCAATGCCCGGCGCCTCAGCCTATCAACCCTTTTGTTTTCACCGCTCAAGCACAATGAGCTTTGCTTTGGCCCATTCCGTTGCAGCACGGATCAAATAGCGATCAAACACGCGATCCACTTGCAATCTTGGGCTGACCCTGCGAGCGAGCCTGCTGGGACGTCCCACGAAGTCCTCATCAGCTTGCACCGTGTATATGATGGGATTTGGCACTGGAATCCCCCGCTGCGAAGCCAACAATAAGTCAATCAAGAAAGTGTGGTGCAGGACATGGTGCTTCGGCAAGTAAATGAAGAGGCAGCGGCCGCGCGTGTAGCAGATTTGCGCAAGTTCAGCGTACAGCTGTAGGAGCCGCACTCCGGCACGACCAGCCCGCTCAGCAGTGGCTGCATCCAGCCACACATCGTGGCTGTAGAGTATGGAGAAGGCTGAGTTGATAGCACGGGCCGCCTCAGCAGCCTTTGTCACAAGCGCATCCCCCAGACGCTCACCGTTCTGTTCACACCACCACTGCACGTACTTCATGAGCACCGTCGTTGCTGCGCCCTTTGACCACGCGCCGTTGGGGAACTGCCCACGCGTCTCCCAGCAAATGAGCTCCTTGGTGATGTTTGTCAAGTAGTGACTCAGCTTGTTTGCCTTGCAATATGACAAATAGTCCTGGGTGACCTGAGCAAATCGCGCGTCAACTTGTCCATCATGGAATGTGTCGGAAATTATTGCTAAGATGGAGGCAGCAAAAGCCTTCCCCACGCCGAGATGAAAGGCGTGCCACGCGTCAAACTGGTACACAGCGGCTGGCTTGTTGGGCTCGTGCGGCAGTGTCTGAAACGCATGGTATTCCAGAAAAGGGCTCTCCCGAAACAGAGTCTCCAAAAATGCCGGCCGTTCAGTGTGGAACTCCTCAAATGGAAACTCAGGCTTTCCGGCGTTGCATAAGTGACAAATTCCCGCACATGGTTTTTTCTGCGCAGCTGTTTTGTGAACACGCGAGTAGGCCCTCTGTAGTCCACCCGCCTTCACGAGCCACGGCCAGTCCCCGGTCACGGCCAAAGGAGCTAGCCAGTACCTCTGGCCATCCTTGCACACGGCGCCTGCGCGTAGCATGTGTTCTGCTTCCGCAGCAGCATTGTGAAGCAAATCATGCAGCACGTGGTCCTTCTTGTTGTACATGGTTTTCGGAAGGACCCCGATCATGAATCTGTGAGTGAAAACATGGCCTCGAAAATTTGTCTTCTGCTTCAGGTAGGGTCTCTTTTTTCGCACGGTTGTATGGTTGTTCCGACGTTCAGGTTCTGATCCACGGCCTAATACCCCATGCCACTGTAGAACAAAGAAAGCCCCCTTCTTCCGGCCTCGTCCTTCATCGCCATGAATCAGGACCGGCGCCGTGCGTTGAGGGTCACACTGGCCACTTGCGAACAGTTGGTGCACATGGTGGTCTGGGAAAACAGCACGATGTTTCTGCCAGAAATTTTGCAGGATTGCCCGCTCTCGCTCACCGTCCGGCCGAACCAGCCCCGTCAACACGTGAAAACAGTTGCGCTGTAGCATGAAGTCCACCCAATCCCGCATACGGAAGAAATTCACAGCTTCAGTTGCTTGTTTGGCCTCATCAGTTGCATCGTGGTTGGCAGGCACAAGCGGTGTCCTAGGAATAGGAAGTGACAGCTTATACTTCGCAATCACACGGCCGGAATCACGCTCCGAGTGTGTCTCCGAACAGCGTGCCAGCTCCTGAATGCCCGCGGAGGCGGATAGAGCTTGCTCACCCAAGTCCTCAACCAAGCCACGCGAAGTCCGTATAGCTCTGGTACAGGGTGCCTGAGGAAACCACCAAATTTGTTGGACTGAAACCCTTGGCCATGCACACTCTATTTCGAATAGTCTCCTGAGTTTTTGGCAACGTGATGGTTTAAACTCAGAAAGGCAGGGTCTGCGGTCTGGGGTTTAATTCAGAAAGGGCTTGCAGTCAGAGGAAAGCGCTTGTGCTGAGGTTTGGACTCCATCACCGATGTCTGCAGCAATGGCCTGCAGAGCTCTGCCAGGAACTGAGCCTGGCGCATTTGTTAAATTGACATCAGGCGCAGCTGGCTGGCAACCCTGTTCTTGCAAACCACTGTGTGAGCATTGCCAAGATCACCAGCGCGAGTCACAATCTTTTCACACGTCGATTCACTAAGATCCCCTGATTGCTAATGAAACCCAGCAGTGCATGAGGAGCGCAATTGCTCAATTGCGATTTGCAAGACCAAAAGGTGGCAGGATGTAGTTTGAGCAATCCAAGGAATCTTCATGGGGTTTGAGCCACCCGCCACACTTCTGGGATGTCAAGCCCCACGCATGATGGTAGAGGTGCTCCTGAATGCAAAGCATTCCTATGAACATTGCTCTACCCACCTAAAATCAAATACTGCAGCTCGAAGCCACACAAAGCTAACTAAGCCTTTTTGGCCCTTTTGGCCTTTTTGTTTTGGCTTGGTTGGCCAGCCTCGGATTGTTTCGCCTTGCGTTTGCTACTGCTTGGCCCAGTAGGCTCAGGCTTGCCCCCATCCTTCTGGGCAAGGAACTTCTTCGATTTCCTGAGGGATAGGATTTCGATTGCATTGAGCGGCTGGCGGCAAAGGAACTCTCCTCAGCTTGCGCTCCAGCGCCACTGCAGCAGAGCACCTGAAGCAGGCGGGGGCAAGGAGCAATCCGGGCGATCGTTCTACTTCACACATGCATATTAGCTGAGGAACACGAAAGTACAGTCCCGCATAGCCTTCTCAGCTGACTTGCGGAACCTCAATTGGGCCAAACATGCACACGCATGGCTTGGCCTTCCCCGAACTTGATGCACCGTTTCTTAAAAGCAAAGCAAACAAGACCGCCAGATTCAAGGGGCGCATCATCGTATCCACCTGCAGCTCCCTGTGCCAGGATGTGGTTGCATGAGTCATATTCGGCATCCATCTTTTTGATTTCTGCCAAGAGATCTGCGACAGTCCTGAGAGAAGCAGCTGGGCATAATAAGGGCGGGCAACCCATGCAACAGAAACTCCCAACACGAGTCAACATAACACTGCTGATTTCTGAATTACTAGCCCTGGTGCTTGGCAACAGTAGCATCTTTCCCATCGAAGTGCGCTTGCAAGTCACGGTGGAGGCCCCGCAGTTTCCCACTCTTGGTGAGGATAGATTCCATCATTTTTGCCAGCTGCTCTTTGGACTCCAGGGGATTTCAAAAGTACAAGTAGCAACGCAGGCATGCAATACGCATGTGTGCACTCAGAAGAAGCAAGCCCACCTCCAATGCAAAGTTTCCAGCCACAGGTGCACTAGTGCCTCCAGCATGCTTTGCCTCAGCCTTGTCGCGCTCGTCCATCTTGTCCAGGTGATCGAAGGAGCCCGCGGGGAGCTCATCGTCCGGCTGGGCAGGCGAGCTTTTTTGAGGGATAGCAATCAAAAAACCATGGGTCGGCTGCACCTATGTGATTGTGTTGGCACGTGCGCGGTTGGGCCTCACAAGTGGCCTTTTGGCGCTGGTGTTCCACTGAAACCTCCTGAATCCTGGCACCTTTTTCACGAAGCTGCACCCAATACTCCAGAATGCCGTCATACTTGTTCTTCCTGAGGGAATCTCAAGAAACAAAGAAAAAGCAGGGTAATTTTGCGAAGCTCCTGATGTGGCTGGCAGCAGACCGCTCGCATACGGCCTTGGCCCCTTCAATTCTTCCCCTTAGCTGTTGCAGGCTTGGTTGTTGAAAAATGATGGAAAAACTGGCAAGATTTATGTTTGCAATCAAAGCTCGCGGCCCATCCCAACTCCGACTGCATCTCAGGGATTGAAAACCATCCCTCCTCTATCGTGACTTGCTTTGTGTCCCGCCGGGTAATGGAATGCAGCTGTAAAATGAACTTCTCCTCGTCAGGGAAATTGACTGTTAACAAATGCGTGCAAGTGAACATCACGACGAACATGTCT